CACGACCTCAGCCGTGTTCACCACGGGCACCACCTCTTCTCCCAGCGAGAGCAGCCACACGACCATGGCTGAGACAACAAGAATCTCCTCCTCCCCAAGTGAGAGTATCTCCACGACCTCGGCCAAGCCCAACACTGGCACCTCCTCCTCGCCCAGCGAGAGCAGCCCCACGACCTCAGCCAAGCCCAACACTGGCACCTCCTCCTCTCACAGCGAGAGGAGCCACACGACCTCGGTCGAACCCGCCACAGGCACGTCCTCGTCGCCCAAGCAGAGTACCCACATGACCGCGACCGAGTCCACCACTGGCACCTCTTCATCTGCCAGTGAGAGCAGCCACACGACCTCAGCCGTGTTCACCACGGGCACCACCTCTTCTGCCAGCGAGAGCAGCCACACGACCGTGGCTGAGACCACAACAGGAACCTCCTCCTCTCCCAGCAAGACAAGCCACAGGACCTCGGCCGAGACTGCCGGAGGTACCTCTTCCTCTCCCAGCGAGAGCAGACATACGACCCTGGCCGAGACCACAATGCCCAGTTACTCCACTCCCAGCCTGAACAGCCCCACAACCTCGGCCGAGCCAAACACTGGCCCCTCCTCCTCTCCCAGCGAGAGCAGCCATACAACCTCAGTCGAACCCACCACGGGCACCTCCTCCTCTCCTAGCGAGAGCAGCCACACAACCGTGGCTGAGACCAGAACGAGCACTTACTCCACTCCCAGCCTGAGCAGTCACACGGCGTCGGCTGAGACCACCACGGGCATCTCCTCCTCTCCTAGTGAGAGCAGCCACACGGCTTCAGCCGTGTCCACCACTGGCACCTCCTCTTCTCCCAGCGAGAGCAGCCACACGACCATGGCTGAGGCCACAACGGGAACCTCCTCCTCTTCCAGCAAGAGCATCTCTACGACCTCATCTGAGTCTACCCCTGGCACCTCCTCCTCTACCCGCGAGAGCAACCACACGACCTTGGCTGAGTCCAGCACTAGCATCTCCTCCTCTATTGGTGAGAGAAGTCCCGCTACCTCGGCTGAGCCCACCACAGGCACCTCCTCCTCTCTCCTCACTTTCAGTGAATATGCAAGCAGTGAGGCTCCCATGGCAACCTCCCTTCCGGTCCAGAGCACAGCTGAAATTTCCACAAGGGAAGAAAGTCTGACGACGGCTTCCCAGTCTACTCTGACAGTATCGTCCAGTGAAAGTTCCATAAGGACGACCATCACACAGCCAGCAGTCTCTGAAGTCACCACAAATCAGACAACCGTGACATTGGTTCCCCCCCATCCAACTGGTGCTTTCACAACTACAGAGACTACCATGGCAAGCTCTCCTTCTCTTCCAATGACAGAGGCATACACACACAATGCGATAACACCCTCTTCTGTGCACACCACAATGGAAATGAGCAACAGTGAGACAACCTCGGCAACATCCTCTCCACCACCAACGGTGACCTTCTCTTCCACCCAGAGCACCTTCTTGACTTCTGTCTCTCACACAACCCTTTCTGAAACCACCACCAATGAAACGACTGTGGCAACAGCGGTTTCTGTTCCAGGTAGCAGCCGTCCTCCTGCAAACCCCACTGGTACTAGAACTACTAGGGGTGAGTTTTGGGCTCTTTATGAATAGCTTGGTTCTGGGAGCAGGGTGTGGGGCAGTGGAGTGGGGTCTTAGGAGCCCCTGAATTGTATTCCTCATTTTACTACTGACTGGCACGATGTGGTCCCCAATCTTGGGGTCCCTGTATAATTAGCCAGCCTAGCCCATAAGTGGCTCCATCTCTTTGCCGGGTGAGATGTCCCTGTGCCCCATCCCAGGCAGCCCCTGGGTGGGGTGTCAGTACAAAGAGCTGCTGTGACTCGTTGCTGTGACTTTTCTCCTTCTCTCCTGAAGCCGGGTCCACCACACCAGCCCCCATGCAGTGCCAGAACAACGGGACACTGCAGGGGACCCAGTGCTCCTGTCGCCCAGCCTTTACGGGCCAGAGCTGTGACGTGCTGAGAAACAGCATCTCCATAGGTGAGTCCCCCTCTGGGGCTATTTACCCCTTTCCAGCCTCCCGAGTGCATTCGCCAGCCTGCCCCCTTGCCCTGAAATGTGGACTCTGATTCCCCGACTCCCGGCTCCAAGGAGGTACCTGTCTCCTTTGCTGGTGCCATTGGGTGCCTTCCCTGGGCACCCTTCTGATGTGCCCGTGCATTCCCTGGAGCCCAGTTGTATCCTGTGCTTATCCCTCCCCACTCACCCACACCCCAAACTTGGAGCAGTTCTGTCCCACTGAATCATCCAGCACTCAGGAGTCCGGTGCCCACAGCAAAGCAAGACTAGCTTCAAAATCAGAAGACCTAAAAAATACATCGCCCGTGTTCAGAGACTCCTGGAGGTTTGAGTCTGGGAGGGATCATCCAAGCCCGATGACTGAAGTTTGTCCAGTTCTTTGCATTTGCCATCTGGGTTTTGGGTTTCGCGGGGGCTGTGTTTTCAAGCTTCCCACCGCGGCCTGGAGAGGTTTGTTCAGTAGAAGGCGAGTTTCTTCTGTAACCCACGGGACTCTGGAGCCTGGGGGTTGTCAGGAACCAACTTGCCACGAGTGCCGGCCACACCGCCTGAGGTGTGCCCCATCGGAGGGTGCTCTGTGAGTCAC